AAAATGTACCCCCCCCCCCCCCCCCGAGATCCCCCGCAGCTACCTCTACACCGATCGTGGTTGTTGTGCTGTGCTGTGCTGTGCTGTCGAGAGAGAGAGAGAGAGAGAGAGAGAGAGAGAGATCGTCCTCTTTTCACCGCAGTAATCGTCAACCGCTTTCTTCCACAACGTCGTCGCTCTCGTCGCCATTGGTCAAAATCTCGATGTCTGGCATCTCTCCCCCGTCATCATCCTCCTCCTCCTCCTCCTCCTCCTCCTCGCCAACCCCGGCGGTAGCGCTGCCCTTGTCTTCCTCTGATCTCGCCTCTGCGGCTTTCGCCTCTGCCGCTTGCGCCTCAGCCGCCGCCTATTTAGTGTACATAACGCGTGCACACGACAGCAATGGCCGAAACGTCAGAACCCGGACGACCAAACCACAAGAAACGCGCGCGCTTCCGTTCCACCTTCGAAAACCGCGGTTGTATTTTGGGGACGCGTCCGTTCCATTTCGAAAACGGCCACGGTATTTTGGGCACGCTCCCATCCCATCTTCGAAAACCGCAAGACGGTATTCGGGGTATACGTACCTCGACCGGTCTTCTCAAATGCCGTGTCAACCACGGTTCGCAATCGAAGGCAAAGCCGTATGCCATGAAGCATATTTCCAAGACAAACTCCTTACGCCGTGAATATTTAGGGCTTTTTGATTTCAAGTCAAGTGCGTTCTGCCACTTAACACACGTCCGGGTGCTTTGGACACGGCAGAGCTCAGACATTTCGTGCGAGTCGACGTTGGGTTCCGAGCTTTGTGTGTGCTGCCGTAGACTATGACATGCTGGTCACTCTTACATACTATGACATGCTGGCCACTCTTACATACTATGACATGCTGGTCACTCTTACATACTGTTAAAAACCCAAAAAATACTCGGGGCCGTGGTCGAAGGTGTACAGGCGTTCCTCGAAACCGTCATTCTACGAGTCACATCGTTAACAAGCACTGCGAGACTGAACGCCACGCAAAAACAAAACATAATATTCTACCCCCTCCCCCCCCCCCCAGTGTTTGCCATCGGGGTTGGGTTTTCGTCGCTTGGCAGCGATGTTGTTACCGCTTTTTTTTTTTGCCTTTGGTTTTTTCTTTGCGGTAACCATGAATGGTGGTCGAGTAGATTATGTTGTGCGGGGTCGAGAACCCTCACTCCACGCAAGGGGGATGATCGCACCACGTTGAGTTAAAATGGTCAAGCTTCCTCGAGGCAGTTACACCGTGCTTACAACTGTCTCCGGAAGTGAAAGCACCAGAAAATAAAATAAGTCACACGCAGCTGTCATCCGTACGCAAGGAAGTAAACACAAGATGCCGAACAACCTTAGCAGGATGCAGCGCACCCTTCATGCGACTCGCCGAATACCTCGCGGCGCTTCGCGCTTGGTGATGTGAGAGCCTGTTCCGGTGAGAACCCGGCGTGCTCCGTCCCGGCTTTGTAGGGATGCGAAGTCAATGGTCTAACGACTACGGCATGCACGACTATGAGTACCCCCCCCCCCCCCCC